CCTGCCTGTGTCACCGCGCTGGAGCGTGGGCTGGCAGGACACTCGTCCCCTCTGTGGTTGTCCCGTTTTCACTGAGGCTGTTGCCTCTGCTGCTCTCCTTCTCCATCCCAGCACTTCCCAGCTTGTGCCAGGAGCAGGGACGGCCCTCGGTGCTGCACACACGCTCTCCCCAGCTCCTGGAACCTTGGCTCCTGGCAGCTCTGTCTCTGCCCTGGGTTCAGTCCTTCTCTCCTAAGGATGGTGGCCAGAGCAGAGGGGCTTTGAGGCACCAATTGCTCTGGATTTGTTCACTCTGTGGGGGAATTGCTCCTGACCTTTGAAGGTCTGCCCCTCTCCAGAGTCCTCCTGCAGTGAGTCCCCAATCTGCCTTGCTGCTACCCTGAGTGCAAGGGGTGTGGGCCACGCTGGACAGGAAGGAAGTGGTGTCCTGGGGTGCTCAGTGGTATCCTGGGGCTGCTCAGTGGTGCCCTGGGGTGCTCAGTGGTGTTCTGGGGCTGTTCAGTGGTGTCCTGGGGTGCTCAGTGGTGTTCTGGGGCTGCTCAGTGGTGTCCTGGGGTGCTCAGTGGTGTCCTGGGGTGCTCAGTGGTATCCTGGGGCTGTTCAGTGGTGTCTTGGGGTGCTCAGTGGTATCCTGGGGCTGTTCAGTGGTGTCCTGGGACTGTTGATAGCAGGGACCATGTTGGCCACACTCTGCTTATGGTGCTTTTTGTGGCATATTCCCAAAGCTCAGTGGAAACTGAGCTGTCCTTGTGGGGGTGTCCAGCTCATCTGCAGAGTCTGTGCTGGGGACAGGAGGAGAGCTGCAGGGTGTGAGGAGCCACACCTGCAGTGACCTGAGCAGGGAGGGTCTGATTGTGCTTCTGTTCAGCAGCACTGACCCATAAAAAGAAGTTTGTCCCCAGAGACCTTTGTAGCAACTGCAGGGGCTGTTGCTGCCTGTGAGAGAGGCAGAAAATCTCCCCTGGTTAAGGGAATGAGGTTCAGGAAGAGTGTGGGCGTCAGCTGGTGGGAACCTGCTCACCAGAGTGTGCTCAGGCCAGAGGAAGCACAGCCCTGGTGCAAGACTTCTCTTTAAAGGACCTTTTACCATGAACAGATTAATGCTGGTAGGTCAATGCTTTGTTTACTCTTGGTAACTGAGCTGCTGCTGCTGAGCTTTCTGCTGTGGAAAAAGCCCTGTTCTTCCTCTTGTATCTCTTGCTTCCAGAGCACTCCCTTCTTTCCTAAGATTCCCTACTAGTTTCCCCTGCTGAATTGTTACCTTCTCACCCTACTCCTTCCTCAGTGTTGTTTCCTAGACTGTCTGTGAAGGTGGTAGAAACTGCTGGAATTGCTCACGTAAGGCAGCAGGGCTCCAGCAGGAGCTGCAGCTCTCTGGGGCACTCACAGTGATGTCCCCTCAAGTGTGCTCCAGCTCTACAGCTTGTAGTGTGGCCTTTCCCTGCCCAGCTGCTGGGCACAGGCTGGCCCTTGCTGTGGGAGTGGAAGGAGCAGGATTTCAGGGCAGGATTTCAGGGCAGTCTCTCCTGCAGGGTGTTCAGGATCAGTGCTGCAGCCACACGCCCTTTGGTGAGAAGCTCAGCCTGCACAACGTGCTGGGTGCTGAGCAGGACGTGACCCTTCTGCTTCCCCTTCAGGTGATGTTCTCCTTCGAGGCTGGCAGGCGCTGTGACTCAGGACCTGGAAACTTCACCTTTGAGACCAAGCAGGGCAACGAGATCTTCCGCCTGGTGGAAGCCTCCATCCAGGAGCAGAAGGCTCAGGTGGAGGAGAACCGGCAGAGCTGCGACTCGCTGGAAGCCGACAGCCCCGGCGTGGTGCAGATCCGCCAGGCCCTGGCTGACAGCCTGAACCTGGAGCTGCCCGCCGAGGGGGACGACACCCCGGCACCCAAAGCAGGGCTGGCACCCAGGGCTGGTGCAGCAGCAGCAGAGGAGAGAGATGCCACATCTCTGCTGAAGAGCCGGACTCTGCCGGAGCTGCCCGTGCCACCGGCCAAGCCCACGGTGTCCAGCACCCCTCCGCGCTCCCCTCTGCCCAAGGGGCTCCGCGCCGTGCCGCCGGCCGAGGACCCGTCCAGCGTGTACTCGGAGCCCCTGGACTCGGTGAAGGGCCTGCAGCCGTGGCCAGACCCGCTGTACTCGGACCCTGTGGACAGCAAGGCCGCGAGCGTGGCCAAGGCGCCCGGCGGGGCTGCGGAGGAGCCGAAGCCGCGGCTGCCGGTGCCGCCGCCGTACTCGGGCCCGTACGAGCAGGTCCGGCCCCTGTCCGAGGGGCAGGGCCGGGCCGAGGGTCGTGGCCAGGCCGCCCCTGGGCACAAGGAGCACATCTACGACGAGCCTGAGGGCCGTGCCCCCCGCTCGCTGCATCCCTTCGCCTACATCTACGACGAGGCGCGGCCCACGAGCGAGGCCTGGCGCACGCAGGGCCACGACGGCAAGGGGGGCTACGAGTACCCCTACAACCCCAGCACTGACGATTACTCGGTACCCACCTTCCCTGCCAAGGCCAAGAACCCCAAGCCGGTGCCAGCCCCCAAGCCCCAGGCGGCCTTTATCCCCAAAGGGGCAGAAAGGATGGAGGACCCTGGCAGGCGATGGGGCAGCGCGGCCCCCGAGAAGGTGCTCGCCAAACCCAGCCTCAACAGCAGCAACAACAACAACGTGGAGGTGCTCTACAGCCAGGTGGTGAAGCCCCAGCCGCTGCAGAAGAAGGAGCAGTGTGTGGATGAGTACAGCTTGTCGCCTCTCTATGAGGATTTAGGGGAGATATAAGCTGCTGCTGCTGCTGCTCTGCGTCTGTATCCCAGCAGGGACTGGGCATCCCAGTGCCAGCTGGGCTTCTCCTCCCCAGGATGGCTCGGGGCTGTTTGGGCTCAGGCAGAGCCCCTTTTCTCACCAGTGCTGAGGGGCTGTGTTTCCCTGGAGGGAAACAGCAAGAGAGCTGTGGCTGGAGCGTGCCCCAGCTCTGGAGCTGGCTCCACTGTGCCTTCTGATCTGCAGGAGGGCTGGTATTTTCCTGTACCTGCTGCTCTGGCTCTGCTCTGGCTTCCTGTCTGACCAGGCTGCAGGGCTCTGGTGCCTTTTGTGGTGTGTGGAAGGCTGCTTGCCATCAGTCTCCAAAAGTATTTTTATACAAAGTTATTTTAATATTAAAGTCTGTATGTCTCGGAACGACACGTTTGCCTGTGGCGTGGATGGGGAGGTGCAGGTGCACGTTTGTGTCTGTGCCAGGGCTACTGAGCCAAGAGGGAGCCTCAAAGAAAAGTGCCTGCCAGGCTGAGCTGTGGCTGGATGCCCTGGTGCCAGGGGATTAAGGGAAATGGGAGTCAGGCTCAGATATGTGGTGGCCTCCAGGCACAGGGCTGGGCAGGGACAGGCGCCAGCTCTGCTGCAGCTCAGTGGCTGTTGTTCCGTCACAGGATCTCTCCTTCTCCAGCTTGATCCCACTGCTGATCCCCCCTGCTCCCAGCTGCTTTGGAAGGTCTGGAAGGGCCCAGTCTGGCTCCCATTCTGTTTAATGGCCAAATCTGTGATGCCTGCTGTGTGGTTTGTGGGATTGCTGCGTGGCCAGCGTTGGCCAGAAGCCTGCCCAGGAGAAAAACAGGTTGTGCTTTCTGTGTGGGGCCACACCAGGCCTGCTGGCATTGGCTGTCCCCACGTCTGGATGGGGCTGCTGGTGACTTCTGCAGGTTTGGTACCTAAAGAACAGGCAGGTGACAGGCAGCACTGTGCTGCACCTCTGCAGAGGGCTAAGCTCGACTTCTGCAGCCCCAGCTCAGCCAAACTGTTGGGGAAGCCTGGAGGTTCAGGTCCCCAGGCTGGTGAGACGGTGATGAGGTGATGAAATCTGGGCATTTATTGGTGCCCTGGTTGCAGGGGGAAGCCTCAGTCCTGTAAAAACACAGCTCAGCTGTGGCCAGGACCAATCTGTGGCTGTTCCCCTCTGCTGGGTCTCTTCTCTACTGGGGTTTTGGTGCAGGAGAAGGGGAAAAGTCTACTGGGTTTTGGGAAATCTGAGGGAGGCTGAGGTGGTTCCAAAAACTTTGTTGCCTCCCTGCTGCCTCCTCCCTAAACCTGATTTTATAATTTTTATGTTGTTGACTGGTTTGCAGGCCCCAGGCTGGGCTATTTGTGTGTGTTCATTCCTGCACCCAGCCATCCCTGTGCCTGCGGGGGTGTCTGCCCTGTCTTCCCTGGTACCTGCCCTCGAAGTCTTGCCCCAGCAGCTGCCCGATGAGATGCCAGGGCATGGCAAGAGCCAGCCCATGCCTTTGGGCCTGCCAGAGCTGGGATCCCAGGGAGAAGAGGTGGGATTGTGGTGCTTGCCTCATGCCCTTGCTCACCTGCAGCTGTTTCCCAGGAAACACAGGTCAGTGGTGGGATAGCAGTGCTGGACATGTCAGGAACCACAGGCAGAGAGTGAGCTCCATGGAGGGTAACTTTATTTTGGAACAGCTTTTCAGAACCAGGTAAGTAGAACACAAACTCTGCTGGTGCTTGGTATCAGGGGCTCAGTGAGACCACCCCACCTTGGCTTGGTCAAGCTGCTCTTGGCTCACACCTAGCCTACACCTGCACTGAAAAACAGGCTGGAATCTGGCCAGGAATTCTCTGGAATTGCTCTGGCTTGGCATTTGCTACAACCCCCTTCACTAGCTGGGGCGTTGGACAACGAGGCCAGTCTTGGAAGCAACCAAATCATCTGGATTTAATCTTTAAGATCAAATCCAAGAGCCCTGTTTCATTTCATTCCTATTCAACCACCCCACTGAACCTGCTGCTGTGGGATGAGGGCAGCCCAGCACGACTGCCTGCCTTGTCTGATTTCCTCCCTGCCCTGCCTGCAGCTCTTCTGCTCCCACTGACAGCAATCTGTGATTTGTGGCCTGTGCTAACACAGTCTCACAAACCCAAATTTGAGGCAGGCTGGTGACGTGTGCTGGCAAGAACAGGAAATACGTGCTGCTGCTGCTGCAGGGGACAGCTGGATCTCTGGACAGAGGGTCCCTGAGCAGCAAACTTCCTGCAGAACTGGCTCGGTGACGAACACAACGTGAAACAACAAGGAGGAACAAACGATGGGAAGTGCCTGCCTGACCAAGGCCAAGCTCGGTGTCTTGCCTGACCACATCCGGCCAGCTGCTGAGCCAGGACCTGTGGCTGTCCAGGGGCAGATCACTGCAAGAACTCCTCATATTCCTTGGGGAGCAGGGAGCCCTCACAGGAGCCTCTCCTGGCTGCTGCTGCTGGTGATCTGAACGTTTGGAGGGGAGAGGGAGCCATCAGCAGGGGAGCCACTGCAGCTTTGGCTCTGCTCTGAGGCTGCAAGACAGGGACAAAACACAAATCCTTGTGGGAGGAGGTGCTGGCCGTGCTTCACCCTGCTGGGCACAGGGAGCTGCCTGCAGCAGGAATCTGATTAGAAGGGCACAATCTGCTGGAATCTGGCCAGGAGGGGACATCAGACCCCGTGCAGGCTGCTCACACACACGGACTCACCTGCCTGGGCTGGTGCCGCTCCGGGCGCTGCTCCCGGGGCTGGGGCTGCTGCCGGTGGGGAGGTTTGTACAAGGAGCTCTTCAGGTATTTGTAGAGGTTGCTCTTCAGGTGCAAGGGGTTGTAAGCAACTTCCACTTCCAAGTTGTTCAGGGCGCTCTGCTTGGAAGAGAGAACTTGAGTTTGCTACAGGATGTGAGGTGGAGGCTGTGGGGTTTGCATGTTGGTGGTTTTTTTGGTTTCTTTTTCAGGGACAGTGTTGTAGACTCTCCAAACCACCCACCCTGCAGTGAAAGGTGAAGGGATTGTTGGCTGTGTTGCAAACCATAAGGAGCACTCTTAGCTGTGTGTAGAACAAGAGGCATCTCCAAACAGATCTTAATGGATTCAAACATTCCCTTGCAGGATGCAGTCCTACCCTTTCCCATTGTCCAGAATCAGCCAACAAGCTGGAACTCCCTTTCTGGGCTCTGTCACCCTCAACTCTGCCTCACAAGGCCTCTTCCCCCCAGCAGACACCAACATTGCTCCCAAGGACAGCTATCTGCTGTCCATGGAGAAAGCTGTCTGCTGGGAAGGAGTTCTGGAGTGCACCATCGCACTTCAGCTGTCACTAGACATTGTCACAGCCATTTCCTTCTCTCGTTATCTGCTGAGGTGATAACGAGAACTGATAATGAGTGACTCACCTCGATGGGGCCCCTGACTCGCTCGGGGTGCTCAGCCAGGAGGGCTGGGAAGGCTGATGGCAGCAGGAGCTCTCTGATGGCCACTGCTTTCACCAGGAGAGTGGCAGAGTCAGAGGGGATGATGACATAATAGGGGTGCACCACCACGTTCCAGTTTGGTCCAGTGTTCTGGGGCTCATGCCTGGCCAAGAGCATCCACTTCCTTCTCTAAAGGGCAAAATCCAGGTGTGAACAACAGCAACAGCCACTTCCTTCAGCGCTGCCACCGTGGGCTCAGAGCAGGCACACTCACACACCACGGAAGGGAAACTATTCTGCAGCAGGGCTGAGGACAGCATGGCATTTGGTTTGTTTTTTAGCAAGTCAGTTCTTAAGAAAAACACCGAGTTTTGGTTTGCAGCTTGGTCAGTAACAGCCAGTTCTCCACAGTCCAAGTCCTGGTTAATTATTTTTGCTGTTAAAGTTGCAAGTCTAACTCCAACCCTGGCATTTGCACTTCACTCCTCCAAACACTCATTTCTGGTAGGTTTGAGGGTCTTCCCTAAGCTCTGATGAGCTGTAGCATCTTTCCAGCAGATGGAAGGATTTACAAGCCCAACTCTGGCCCAAGAGATGAGGTTGCAGCTTTTAAAATATTTCCTGGTGCAGCCAGACAGATGTTACAAGGTGTGCACTCCCTTTCCCTGGCCATCCCTCCCCATCACACTCACCAGAAGACTGTGACACAAAGCATGGAAGCTGTGCTGGTTTGTCTCCAGTTCATCCCAGTCCAGCTGCCAGCAGCTTGTGGGCTTGATGATGAAGGGCAGCCCATAGAGTACAGACTCACAGACCCCTTCAGACTTCAGAGCCCTGCCAGGATACAGCTCATGTTAGTGCTCATCACTGTAAGAACAACTGCACAGCTTAGAAATTATCCTGTTTTTTTCCTATAAATAAGAAAAGACACTAAAGGGCATCTCTGTGCTCTGCCCTGTGCCATGAACTGCTGCCAGGAAAGTGAATTGTTAGGTGAAATCACAGCACTGTGAGGTTTTGTTTAGGCTCTGACATCCAATTAATTGCTGTGGCCTCATTAGGTAATGAGAGAGCAGAATTACTGCAATTAAACATTACACTGGGGCAAAACAACTTTTGGAGGAATGGCATCTGTGGTGTCACCCTCACTGAGTGCTGTGGTGACACCAGGTGTGATTGATTGTGGTCTGCATGTGGGCTGTGCTGTTCCTTGAGAGGAAGAGTGATGGAACTGGGGGTTTTTCACACCAGACTTTGGCTCACCAGCACCCCAGAGCCTCCTGGTGATGTCAGCAGGCCCCAGGAGAGTGAAGCTTTTCTTACAGCCTGCCCCAGTTACCCAGTGGGAGACAAGGAGCACCACTCACTTCAGCACCCGGAGTTTGTGCAGAGCTGTGGATGGCCAGGCTGCCACGTGCCAGGGAGAACTGGCATCTGCTGCTCTCCCAGTGCCATCAGCTGTCCCCAAAAGCAGGGCTGGGTCCAGCAGCCTCTCCTGCAAGTCACACTTCAGGCACACTGGGAGAAGGAGAATGGTTTAGGCCGCTGGGATGGGCAATGTTTAGCACATGACATGCTCAAAGCACTTAAAAATTAATGTTTCCTTGGAGGAAGGAAAATACCAAAGCCTGACACAAGGCATCAGCTTGTCCCCAAATCCCTCTGCAAGACAGCCTTTATTTGAGTGCAGCTCTCTGTAAGAAAGCCTTTAAGTGCAGCTCTGGCACAGACTCTGTTTTGAACACAAGTTTTAGTGCTATTCAACTCTCAAGGCTCCTTTTTACCTTGGCCACGTGGCTGTAAATTCACATGCCCTTCCAGGCACATTTTTGCTGCAGAATGGAAACAATTGCAGCCTCAGCAGCTGTGGCAGCAAAGAGCAGCTTTGTAAGCCTGATGATTTTGCAAGTTATGCACAGACCTCACCTGGGTCTCTAAATGGGAGGGAAGGTGCCCATAGGACAATCTTGGGTAACCTTTAAAGCTGAGGGACTCAGGAGCTCCTAGAAAGGGAGCAGAGGACAGAGAAAATGAAATACTTAAGGTGTTCTTGGGTGCAGCAGCGTGGCCAAAACCTCCTGAGGGAAGGAGGAGATGGAGCTGTTCCCTCTCTGTGCCATGGTCATGGAGCCACGTTTTAAACAGCATCTCCAGGCTGATGACATTGTCCTCTACAGTTTGCACCTCGATGTCCATTCCCAGGATTGCCATATCTGCAGGAAAAAAAGAAAAAGGAGGTGAAAAAGCACCAAGATTTTCAGCCATTGAAAAGATTCCTTCAGCAATTATTAAACTCCTTTGTTGGAGGTGCAGACAAATGTGGTTTGATGTAGCAACAACTCTGAAGCATGGAGAAATGTAGGCTGAAAAGCAGAGTTAGGCAGGACATAAACAAGATAAGCCCAAAAAAAAAAAAACTCCAAAACCACCCACAAGAAATACCTCAAAGGTGCATCCAGATGAGAAGCTAGCTTGATGTCCATCAGATAAACAAAAATAAAACGGGATAAATAAAATAAAGGGAAGGGAAAAAACCAATTTGCAAATTGCATAAGATGTGCAACATAACCACTGGTAAACACAGAAGATAGAGTGTGGTAGCACTAACAGCTTTACCATGCAGCCAGGATGTGGAAAGGCTTTCTGAGAAGATGAATAAATAGCAGAAATAGCCTTTTTCCCCTCCTTGTGTTTACCAGGCCAGCAGGGGGATTAAAAAGCAGTGCTGCATCCATCTACACTGAGATATCTTTTAATTTCTAATGCCATTTGGCAAAAATGACACTTGTGCATTAAAAAAAAAAACAAAACCAAAGAAAAACCCCAAGAAATGAAATCATTTCTAGCTGGCAAATAATCCAGGACTACTGTAATGACTGTAATTCTCCAAATGCTCTGCAGGACACACTTTTTGACTGTCCCCACCTGCCAGCCTTGAGGAAGAGATTGTGTTGGTGCTGTGTCTGCAGCAAAGCAGCTCAACTCCCACTCACAGCAGATCTTTCACACTGCCCTTGCTACTAAAAACCTTTTCCTATCCTCTCTGACTGTCCCTGGCTGCCAGGATATTTAATTCCTTTATTTTTTTTAGTTCTTTACTTTTTTTTTTTTTTTTTGGTTCTTTAATTCTTTTTTTTTTATTTTAGTTGGAAGCTGCTCTTCTAGAACTGAGCTGTTCCCAGCTCCAGCCCCTTGCCCAGAGTGCTGCTCTCATTTCCCTTGCAACATTCACTGTTGCAGGATGATCCTGTTTTGGATGCATTCCCTACAGATTTCAGACTTGGGCTTCTCTCAGGGATGTGAACTGAAGAGGGCATTAACAGCCCAGAAGACAAAGCACCAGGAAATCCATGTAATTAACTTTTACAAACAGCAAAACACAGCTGACAAAGGGAATTATTTGTGTTTTGGGGCTGGTAAATGCTTTAGTTCTTCCCTCAGTAAATATTTCCCTGTTTTTTTTTCCTTCATTTTTTCCTCTGTAATAGATATTTAATCACTTACACATCTGCAGTTGGCACAAGACATGACAATTTTAGAAGAAATTCACTGCATTCATTAGGAAAAACAGGTTGGGGTGCCAATATCTCAAACCTTGGAGAGCAGAGCCCAGGTAGAGAAAGGAGCCCTGAGACTTGCAGAAGATGGGCTGGGCTCATAAAAAAGGCATTAATGCTTTATCTGTTGTTTGTTTTTATCAAAGAGAAAGAGCTGGGAGCTGTTATCTCCAGCACATGCAAATATTAACCTTTGTTAGCAAAAGGTCTGGCAAGGCTCAGCTGCTTTCAGGGAGTGGAATGAGGCAGGGGAAGAGAAATACTAATAACAACAACAAAAACAACAATAATAACAATAACAACAATAACAATAACAACAACAACAATAACAACAACATCAACAACAATAATAATAATGATAACAATAACAATTTTTTAAAATTAACAGTATATAATTATAATAGAATAACAGTATAATTATATTCGTAATTTATAATACAATATTATTATAATACAATTACAACACAATAGAATTAAATAATTACTTATTATTGATAATAACGATAATAATAGTTATTATGATAACTATGCTAATAATATATTGATTATATAAAAGTAATGGTATATAGTTATAACAATAGTATAATTATATTGATAATATATACTATAATATAATTGCAATATTATTATAATACAATCGAATTGTAATATATAATTTAAGAATGATAATAATGATAAGGATAATGATAATTTTAAAATTTGTCTGTTTGTTTGTTTGGGTTTTTTTGTTACCATCTAGAGACCAGTCCATCCAAAGGCCAGGCATCCTGCTGGTTGCTCCCCCAGATTATTCCCACCTCCAGTGTCCTGCTCTCCACGGGGTTTAGTTGAATCACTTTGCTCTGATTCTGAGATCTCAGCATATTCAAAGCTGTTCTAAGATTTGCCAACATGAGGTTTTCAAACTACTGAAGTCTTTTCCAGCTGCACTAACCTGGGAATGAGCCTGGAGGGGATATCCTGATCCTGCTCTGGATATTAAAAATGCAAGCAGGTTCAAATAACCCCTAAAAAAACTAATGGAAGAAATATCCTCAGGGAAATGAGGCTCATGATTAAGTGCTGCATCACAATATTTATTTTCTAGCTCAACACAGAACCAATCTTGCACTTCCTGTACACTGGATCTTGCAAATTCAATGCTCTTTACTGTATTTTTTTAATAGGAAAATGGATTTATTTTCTGAAACAGAAGGAGGGAGCTGCAATGTGTATCATAAACCAGTTGGGCTCATTTTTCCAATTATCTGACCTATTCACCCCCTCTTGCTTTTCTTACAGAGCAAATAGTTCATCCACTCAGAAAATCAGAATTTCATCCCTTGACATTTCAATGGCCTTTTTGTCCACATTCATATTTTCATTCCATTTACTGGGTGAAAGGGCCACACAAAAATCCACGTTTAGAAATCATTTGGGTGGGGTTTTGCACTCCCTAAAGCAGCCTGTGACAGAGGCACAGAGCATCTCCTCCTCTGTGGAGCTGAGCCTTCCAAGAATTCCCTGCAGGATTCCCAGTCCCTGCTGTGACAACTGACCAGAAATTTGCTGCAACCACGAAAGAAAATGAACAGCAAGAGACAAATAACTCTGCCTGTTCCTCAGTAAAAAAACAGAAATAACCCATTTTAATCCTGTTGGAATCTGAAATGCAAAGAATTCTCAGAACTTTGGGCCTGTAAGCCAAAGCTTAGAATTAAATACAAGATTTGATCTGAGACTTTAGAAAAGGCTTCCAAACTAAAGTACTAGAAGCAAGAATTTGGATTTATAGTTTAAAGCAGAGACACGTTAAGCTAAGTAAAAGAAAGTTGAGAGTTTTAGAGTTTAAGATATAGAAAAAATTAAAGTAGCTACAAGGGTAAACAAAGAAATTAGAATGCAGCACTGTGACTTTGTGTGTCATAACATGATTAGCTAAGAAAACTTACACTGCAGCATGGGTCTGTAAGACAAAATATTTAAAGATTGGGTCAAAACCATAAGTATCCTTTATTATTGCAGTGTTTTATTAGTCAATAACCCCTTAAAAAGTCTTGTGACTAAAGGTCTTATGGCCTTCTGAACCATGCTGTAACAATGTGAGCTGAACTCACCCTTCTTGCCTATGTAAAAGATAATAAAAATAAACAACATCATCTAATAAGCTCAGAAGTCCTGCCTCTAACTCATTCAGAACTTAAAAAATCCCCATAGAATCCTCTCTCCCAGGCTGCACGTTGCTGGGAAGGGTTACTGTCACTGACCAAGCCTCTTGTTTAGCTGTTTTTTTTTGTCTTTGATACAGTTCCTGCTTACTGCTGCTGCTTTCCTCCACGCTCAGAGGGTGTCACCCCCATAACTCGATGCCTTTTTCTCTTTAACCCCCACAGTGAAGCTGTGTCACACATGAATTTTAAATAACACCAGGAGCTGAAGTAATACACTGCCAGTTCTTGGCTTCCTTTTCCTGTCAAGGTCGGGATTGAAGCGCTCCAGATGGTATTTTGTGTTCAGCTTCAAATGTTTATTGGTTCTTATCTCTCACACAGGCTCACAAGCAGTGAGTTCTGCAGCATTTCACTAGCAAGGCACAAAATGGCCCTGTATCTCTCTCTACAAGGTCTTTTAAGGCTAAACTGTCCAATTAAGAAATGACACCTCAATTATTTTCACTTTTAACCCAATAACTAATCACTCAGAGTCCACAGTGTGGACTTTTCTGTCCAAATACTAAATACCACCAAACCCATGAAGAAGAAGGAGAGGAAGAACAACCAGCCACGGCCCTAAAACCTCCATCTTGCCCCATATATTGGTATATTCTAAAACCTTAAACTCTAAATTTTCCACCCTGTGATATCACACACTTCTAATCAAACTCCACACCCACAATCCCAGCCCTATCATTTATTTTGGAAGCCTTCTCCACGGCCCCAGGTCAGTGCAGTGTTCTCCTGGGGGTCAGGGCTTGGCAGCACAGAAAGTCTGGAATTCTCAGCATCCAGGACTCCAACAATACAGGAGGAAGTTCTGGAAGTTCTACAAGCCCCAGAGAAGAGCTGTGGTACAGACTTCCTCCAGGCACAGCAGTTCCCACTCTCCCAAGGGACATTAAGTGACCCAAAGGGAAGTGGCAGATGTTGGACTGTCGTGCTGCCCAAAGCCATAACTTCCCTAAAAATGTCCTCCACTCACCACTGCTGGGCTCCTCTGCTGGCACACACTGCTCCACATCCTCAGGCTCCAGGAAATCTCTCTTCACAACCTCAATGACCTGTATTCTTCTCAGGCTCACCAGGTCTATGTCTTGTAGCTTCTTTTCCAGCTGCTTTACCATGTCTCTGCTGGGCTGGCTGGTCAAAATTGTGATCTGAAACACAAATCAGAGCATGAAGAGGCTGCCTCTACCTCAATTCTCTCTTGGGAGGTGAAGATGTTGGGTAGCACTGGTGTCACTATGGAGAGGGGAGAAAGCTTGCTAAAATCTCTCATCTATTCAAAAGCAGATTTATAAGCAATTTTTTTTTTTTTGAGCTTTGGCTCACATTTAAGCCAATATGAAATGGATTGAGAGGTTCACTGGAGGAACATCCCCAGGTTTTGTGTTCTGTGCTTTGCACTTGTGATCAGAGTCTCTGTGTGTAAGAAGGGATTTGTACATTAATTATAATTCAAATAGACTAAACTGGGCCTTCTCTCTTGAAAATTGAATGGGAATTTTGTATTTTTTAAAATGTATCCAGTCTATCCTAAAGATATTTCCAAAGAGAGCAGCAGTAGGTGTGATTGTCACCACCCAGTTCTGGTCTGATACTGAGAAAAGGAAACAAAAACTCTGATACTGAGAAAATTCAACTTACTCTGCATTAAAAAAATGCTTGTGATGGGGAGGGGGGGAAATTATAAGCACTTAAGTATCTGGAACAAAAAAGAAGCCTTTTTTTGAAGCTTTTTTTTGGCCTTTTGTAAGGGTAAAAGTCCCTCCTGCCTGTCAGTGACCAAAACCTGTCCCTGCAGCATGTCTTACATCCCCTTGCAAAGAGAAGTACAATAAAATTGCATAATCTAGAAGAACTGGAAGGATAATTGCATAATCTAGAAGAACTAGAAGGATAATTTTATAATCTAGAAGAACTAGTCTAGAAGAACTGCCTAGGGGAGTAAAAACTCCCTGTATCCATGGATTAACTTAATTTTTAATGTAGCTTGCTCCTTTAAGTATACTAGAAAATGTCCTGGATTTTGTTGTGTGTCAAAAAAGGTCTTGTGTCCAAAGCATGGTCTGTTTGTTCCAACCCCCAGCTTTAAAGCACAAATCACCTTTCAAATGGTCAGGAACAATACCTTAAAGCCTCAAGAAAAGCAGAAAATCAGTAGAAAAGTTTCCTGGACAGACACTGGGAGTAAATCTCAATTGCAGCCTGATCACAGCGTGACTCTGTGACACTCTGGAAGGGTTTAAGGACCTAAACAAAGCAGAAAGACTTGGCAAATTTCACCTGTGGGAATCTCAATTTGTTTTTTATGACTGGCAGGTGGACCCTGAGCCTGGGAAGTCTGAAATGCAGGACTGTTTGAAGCTGATATTTTCTGCTGTCCAGAGGAAACCATTTCTGTGTGAGTCCTTTCCCCTTGATAACTCCCTGTCCTTTCATGTCAGTTGATACTGCTTTAAAAAATACTTCCTCCTGTGAACCTTGCTCTGCTTTCTATATTCACACATCTGTTCTCACGTGTTATTAGCAGCTTCCCTCCCATTTATGCATTTAGAGCTGAAAACACAGCCACCAAAATCCACCAAAAGTGTGTCCACCAAAATCTATCAGATCCTGGACCAGGACAGCTTTCCCTAGATGTGTCCCCTTTTCCAAAGGAATCTGTCCAGAGGGATTTGAGGACTTGATATCTTCTTTCATGACTTCTGTGGATCTCTGTAACATCAAGAGTGCTGAATACTTACATTTTCCTGCATGTTCACCGCACACGAAAGTGAACGAAAGTGCACGAAATGCACACATTTACAAATCACAATGATGTGGGACGGCTCCCACTCCCCTCCCAGCATTTTCTTACCTCAACAGAACTATTTGTGGAGCCTCCTGCTGCTGTGTGCCTGCTGTACTGCTTGAACTGCTGCAATCCATCCTGCACAGCCTGCAGCACTCCGTTCCCCCCCGGGGGGAAGCAGCCTTCAGCCGGCAGCGAGCGGAGCTCCGAAATGCAGGCTTGAACTCGGGCAAAGTTTTCTTTCACTTGCTGCAAAACAGAGTTCAGGGAGCAGGAAAGGCTGGGGTCTTAGGTTACAAGAGGGGGCTGGGGGTGTGTATTCTATCACTGTCTGTTACAGGTGGGGCAGTTCTGTTCGTTGCGCAGTTTTCTTTATTACTCCCACAACCAATCCTCCCTCCAGGAGATCTCTGCTGTTCATGGGCCATTAATTATTTTTTTTTTTGTACCATTGCATTTGTATTTTTAATTTTCCTAGTAAAGAACTGTTATTCCTATTCCCATATCTTTGCCTGAGAGCCCCTTAATTTCCAAATTATAATAATTCAGAGGGAGGGGGTTTACATTCTCCACGTCAGGGAAGGCTCCTGCCTTCCTTAGCAAACACCTGTATTTTCAAACCAAGACACCTGGTAAACAACATGAAATACCTCTCCATAATGTGGAGGAAGGCTGGTGGTCACAGAGAAGTCAGCACACCTGAGCCTCACCAAGAACTCAGCAGCTAAGCTGGTACATTGTGGCCACAGGAAAGATACTGAGTGAACTCTACCAAATTTATTTAAAGCAATACAAGACACTGCTGCCAGAGGTCACCTTCCCCACTGAGGAGGCAGCAGGTGAACATTTGACTTGTTTGCCTCAGGTGTGTGGAGCTCTGGGTCACTGAAGCACCCCTGAGCCCTGGTTTACAGGGTGGGCTTTCAGTGGGACTGGGTGGGAAGCTGCAAAGGCTCTGCTCAGTCCTTACTCAATCCCACATTAAATTTTTTGATGCTTCAATGCTGATTTCTTATCTTGTCACCATTTGCTTTCCCCCACAGTTGTCTACTTTCAATCTTTGCCCTCCCTGCCCTTTCCAGGGAGGCTTTATGGACTCTCCTGCTGGGGAGATCAGTGGGAACAGAGACCATAAACAAGCACAGAGGAAAGGTTAAAACCAGGGTAAGTGTGTGTGACACTTCCCCATGTACTCTCCCCATCTCTATTTTCAGCTCTGGGGCTTTCCTGACTTCATGATTTGTCTAACACAGCTCTGAAAAAACAGCTTCAGTACAGGAGCTGATGTCTGCCATGGGAATGTAGCACCCAAAAATCCAGCAGAGTGAATACAAAGAATGGCTTAGGAATTATTAAAATCATTGTAAACATGCTTTGCAGTTAAACTTACAATTTGTTATTGATTTACCAGCCAGAACAGAGAAGGGACCTAATCCTATTTAGAGGAACAAAGGATAAAATACAAGCATGTTCTTCAATCTAGACAGAAGAGTAAATATATTAAGAAATCCCTGGAGGATAAAGCAAATAAATGCAAATTAGGAACCAGGTACAGGTTTCACAATGACAATTATTAACCACTGGATGAAATTACCAAGAGAAGTACTTGATTACCCATCTTGTCTTCAGATCAAAACTAGATGGCTTTCTGGAAGGAAGTTTTAATGAAATAGGGGTACTTTAGTGAAATATAATAGCCTGTGATGAGAACAAAAACAAAACAGTGATCTAAGGGCTCCTCTGCCTTTAAAAACTGTGACTATCAAAATGAGGAATTGCTGTTTAAATTAAAAAGACAGCTGATCAGGAGCAGCAGTCCTAATACTGTCCTTGTCACACTATCTATAACCTTTCTTACAAAACAAACACCACAATTAGCCAGACTCTTCTTGCAGATCACATTTGCTCATTTACTCTTGACCTCTGGCTTTTTATTTTTCTCCAGATGTGAAGACTTGACAAAACTCCTCAGAATGTTTCCACCATTGCTGTATAAATTGGAAGGGTTAATCCTGTGTGTTTACACTGATGTAAATGGGAGTGCTCAGTGTGATCATTTCTAACAGGATGACTTCAAAAATTCTTGTGAACTTTAGGATGCACATTTGTATTCCCAAACTATTACTGCAGAGCTGCTGCTCACTCTCCATCTACATTTATTCCTGTACAGAGCCATAAGTGAGAGCAATATTTGTTCTTACTGACTTAGAGCTCTGTGTTTAAAATCTGTGTGGATGTGGCACTTAGGAACGTGCTTCAGTGGTGGATTTGCCAGAGGCTGGGTTTAGAATTGGATTTAGTCTTAAAGAACTTTTCCTGAAATCACAGAATCATCTGTGAATATAATCAACACAGATATATATAAAAATATATTTTAATATATATAGATAAACATTCAGCACAGATATATATATATATACATAGATTTATATATATATATATTTTATTTTTTTTTTTTAAATTCTGCACCTTTCCCCTTCAATATCTAGAACCTCTCACACACTGCCAGCTCGAGTTGTGTGTGATAATTCTGACAGAGAAGCAGTGCAGCACAAAGCAGCACACAGAAGGTGCAGCAGATGCTCCAAAACAGATGTTTTAAGAAGGAAGAGCACAAAACCTAATTTACCAGGTTGACAGATCCAAAATGACACTCCTCCTTTTCAATTGTACCCTTTCATAAAATTCACTTCACGAGTGATAGCTCCGAGAACGGCCAATTTTTAAGATGCAGATTTTACATACAGATTTTGGGGTATGAATTTAGACATAAACAATTCACTTTTTTTTTTTTTTTTTTTTCCCCCCCTGAGCAGCAGCACGTACCGTGAGGGGCAGCAGACACTCCTGCTGGGGCTGCAGCACGTAGAGGCTGAGCAGGGGCACCCTGCAGGGCCCTGCCAGGCCACAGGCCAGGCACAGGACGTTCTCCAGAGCCTCGGAGAGCACGGAGCAGGTGCTGGCCCAGGAAGGGGAGGTGGCATCCACCACCAGGATGTGGGATGGCTGCTGGCTGGGGGCTTTGGCAGCAGGGAAACTTCTCCGCGGTTCTGAGGGGAATTTTCTGGAATTCATGGCTCCCGCAGCACGTGGGTGTTATGGGCACGGTGATGCATCTGGATGGGGGAAAGAAATAAAGAACAGCAATGAGTGAGGCTCTCTGGTTACTGAGGATTTCAGACTTTCTGTGCTAACAAGCACTCACCCCCAAAAGAACACTGCATTTAACTTAAAGCCATAGAGAAAACTTCCAAAATTAAATTATAGAACTGATATGATGAGTGTAAAGTTCAAATAAATGTAATATCACATAGTTGAAAATCTAAAGTTTAAAATTTTGGGATATAGTAATACATATATTACAAAATAAAAATTTTTAAGCTAGTCCTTCTTCTTCATAGATTTAAGTAGTATTGTGTAATTAGATAAAAAAGTCCACACTGCAAGCCACAAGTAGTTAGCTATTAAGTTAAAAATTAAAATTATAAGTGTGTAGTTTAAATAATAGTGTATAATAGCACTTCAGATACTTAAGTGATTGCAGTTTCTCTCCCCCTCATCACAAGCATTTTTTAATGCAGAGTAAGCTGAATGTTTGTTTCCTTTTCTCAGTATCAGACCAGAACTGGGTGGTGACAATCACACCTACTGCTGCTCTCTTTGGAAATATCTTTAGGATAGACTGGATACATTAAAAAAATACGAATTCCCATTCAATTCCCATTTCAATTTTCAGCAGAATTAGTAGAAGTTTTAGAAGGATTTACACAGTTGGGCTCTGGCCTGTCATTTGTGGGGTGTGTTCAGCTCACACAAACAGCTCTTTTATGGTCTCCAAGGAGATAAGATACTGCATTTCCTACAGCCCCCAGCACTTTGGAGGAAGAATTTCTGTAAGGCTTGGGAAGAGCAAAAAATCATGACAGAAAAAAAAAAATAAAAAAAATCTGAATTTTTAGGATTCCTTAGGATGCCTGTCAGTGCAGGCAAAACAAGAGTGATCACAGCCTGAATTTCGAAACTGGGGTTAGCATTTCAGGGCTGTTGAAAATGTTATAAATACAGACATAGATCATGTAGGTATCTTGCTTTGATTAGTCCTCTGGTATAATTTGATTGTCAAATGCAAAACTGCCAGATTACACTTTAATCAGTGTCTCTCATGAAGCTTTTCAATTTACAGCAGAGTTTACTCAATTATTTCACTGAATCTGGGAATGCACTTGTCTGTCTGAATTTTTTCTGATGAGGCTTCAGTGCTACTGAGCTCTGCAAGCCCCCAGAGCTTCCTCAGCCAAGGAAACGAAACCCATCCTGCCACAAACCCACAAGAGTTGGGCCTTAGCACTGGTTTCAGGGAGGAAAATGAGTTTTGATGCTGAAGCAGGGAGTGTTTTCCTCATTTTGAATGAATTCTCTCATTCTTGGCACTCTACTTATTTGTATTCCCAAACTATTACTGCAGAGCTGCTGCTCATTCTCCATCTACATTTATTCCTGTGCAGAGCCCTAAATGAGAGAAATATTTGTTCTTACTGCCTTAGAGCTCTGCATTTAAAATCTGTGTGGATGTGGCACTCAGGAATGTGGTTAAGTTGTGGATTATTAAGGACTATGGTTATTTTAAAGTGGTTTTTTAAAAATAGATCCCTCATCAGCTCCTTACCACTAATTTCTTCATAATTGTGGTGTCTTAATTAATCTCTGCTTAGCAATATTAATGTGATTTATATGCATCTCTCTACAATATTTGACAGTGTTTGACCTCTATTATAGCTCTAGTGAGGCTGGAGAATGCAGGAATTCTGTGGAAGTGGTTGCTGTGCCAAAAAAAAATTCTGTGGTAAAATGACATTTTCATTTAGGCATTGGGTGGACTGACAGAGCCCATCCCGAGGGATCCTCTACAATTCCATGAGAATAGGGTAAACTGCAAGTTCTGGCAGCTGATTTGACATTAAGTTATTGCTCAATAAAGCAGAACCCTCCAGGTGTCAGGGCTGGTGATGTGCATTTTGCTCAATGCCAGGAGACACAAATTGTGCAGAACTAGAAAGAGGCAGAAAGGAAATTTCTTTATAGTGAGTGATTTGTGGCTGCTGAGGACATTCTGCAGTTGCACATCATCCTATGGGCTTAGTTTGTTATAAAAAAAATTATGAAATTATATCCAGGTCTAAAAAGGCACAGCACCAAAGCCACTGGTTAAAGAGGATTGAGGGAAATTGGTTTTAAAAGGTGCCATTTTCAGAGTAAGCTTCAAATCCCTGGGAAACAGGAATATTCTCATGTGGAAAACATAGCTGAGGGTTTGCTAGAGAATAAACTGGCTGTGCAGTGTGGATGGCCTCTGGTGTGAACAGTTTTTTCCACCTAGCCTAGAAAGGAAGGAATTTCTTTAAAAAGGTCAGGATGAACAGAAGAATAAAGACAAAAAAGCAGAAGAGTTTGCAGAAAATCAAGCTACTGGAAACAAAATTATTCCAGACCCTGTATAACAGAAGATATTATGTGTTACTCTATTCATCAGTGCTATAATCAATCATAAATAAATGGCTTTTATTGACATAAAATCATCAAACCTTAGCAAGAATTGTCGCTTCATATTAGTGTTAAAATCGCTCATTATAACCTTTAGAGGTTCTTGTTTTATTTTTTTTTTCTCAAAAGAAGAGCAACTATAACATTTTTAAATCCTGAATCACTAAAAATGAGTAAAAATAGCAAAACCTTAAGGGAGCAGCAGAGCAGGGACAAACTGCTGCAGAATTCCCAGGTGGAAATTTTGTGGAAAAGCAGCCAACTCAAACCCCAGCAGGAGAGCTGGGCTATCAGGGTGTGAGTGACAGGCTGGAATTGCCAGAATTCAATGTTCTAAGAACTGTAATAACTCGGTGATCAGATTATGGGCACGGCTAACGAAGCCTCAGGGGTAGCTGCTCCATCTTCCCTGGCATCTTGATTAAGAATCCGGGCTGACACCTTGTCAACACACACCCTGTAACCTGATAAAAACCTGCATAATTCATGGGCAGGGCGTGCTGCAGGCAGGGAATCACCGCTGGGGCTGCGCAGAAAATCCTGGGATACACCCAAGTGCTGGAATTGTCCTCCCATGGCTCCTACAACCTCAACTCTTCCACCCTGGATGTGACCTCAGGGTCTAAAGTTTCAGTCTTGCTGTGACATTTTCGTATTTCCTGTACTGTTTTGGGTTTGTTTTGTTTTGTTTTTAAAGCTTTAGGCAGCAACACTCCCTCACTGGTGGCTGGATCCTGGGAGGAAGGGAAGGCAGCACTTGTCCCCAGGAAATCCTGTGGCATATCCCACCTGGAACAGCAGGATGTGCCCACGTGGCTCTGCTTTTGAGGTGTCTGCAGGGACTGGGAGAGCTCTGCTGGGATGGACAGGGACTGGGACAGCTGGACAGGGACAGCTGTACTGGGCTGTACTGGGATTGGGACAGCTGGACAGGGACAGGGACAGCTGCACTGGGCTGTACGGGGACTGGGACAGCTGGACAGGGACAGGGACAGCTGTACTGGGCTGTACTGGGACTGGGACAGCTGGACAGGGACAGCTGTACTGGGCTGTACTGGGATTGGGACAGCTGGACAGGGACAGCTGTACTGGGCTGTACTGGGATTGGGACAGCTCAGGGACAGGGACAGCTGCACTGGGCTGTACTGGGACTGGGACAGCTGGACAGGGACAGCTGTACTGGGCTGTATTGGGACTGGGACAGCTGGACAGGGACAGGGACAGCTGCACTGGGCTGTACGGGGACTGGGACACCTGTACTGGGATTGGGAAAACTTGACAGGGACTGGGAAAGCTGCACTGGGCTGTATTGGGACAGGGACAGCTGGACAGGGACAGGAACATTTTACTGGCCTGGACAGGGACACCTGTACTGGGGTTGGGACAGCTGTACTGGGCTGTATGGGATTGGGACACCTGTACTGGAATGTTCCAGTGGTCAGGACAGCTGTACTGGGCTGTACTGGGACAGAGACACCTGTACTGGGCTGGACAGGGATAGGGACAGCTGGACGGGGATCAGGACACCTGTACTGGGCTGTACTGGGGTTGGGAAAGCTTGACAGGGACTGGGAAAGCTGTACTGGGTCTGGGACAGCTGGACAGAGATTGGGACACCTGTACTGGGATTGGGACACCTGTACTGGGATTGGGACACCTGTACTGGGCTGTACTGGGATTAGGACAGCCGTGTGTGCCTGAAGGGTGGCCAAGCCCCCAGAAGGTGTCAACCAGCAGCTCTGCTGGGCTCCCTCACAGCCCATCCCGTGTTTCCCAGACATTTCTCCTTGCTGCCATCCATTTTCCCTGCGCTGGACGCTGTGGGAAGGATGGATGGGGAGGGAAGCACCGGGTCCAGCTTCTCCCCCAGCCTGGAGCCTTGATGGGACATTTTAGTGCTGCAATTAAAACAAAACCAGGAATAAACTCCTCTGCCTGATCTCTGTTTCCTAGAGGTGCACCTTTCATCCCTGAACTGGGTTTTCCCACATATTTCCCTTCAAGTTTGCTCCACACCAACAGCGCCCGAGGCTGCTGCCCTTGGATGCCTTAATTGCATTTGCAGAGGAAATGAGGACTAATTATTAACTTCCCACAGGAGCAACTCCCACAGGAGGCTGCTGAGGTTTCCCACCTCCCAGCTCCCAAATACCCTCAACAAGGCTTTCCCTGAGGGATTTGGGATGGAATTCCCCTGAGGAATTCGGGAGCGAATTTCCCTGTGGGATTTGGGATGGAATTTCCCTGAAGGATTTGGGACAGAATTTCCCTGAGGGATTTGGGACCAAATTTTCCTGAGGGATTTGGGATGGAATTTCCCTGAGGGATTCGGGACCGGAGCTCCTTTCCCGCGGCCGGGCCGGGCCCTGCCCGCCGCCGCTCCTTTCCCGCAGCCGCCGCCGCTTCCCGGTCCCGGCTCATCCCGGGGCTGTTCCCGAGGGAATGCCGCCCTCCGGGCTCGGACCCACCTGGGCGGGGCCGTTTTCCCGGTCCTGGCCCAAATCCCGTTTAAATCCCGGATAAATCCCGGGTGG